GAAAAAAAATAAATTTGGGCATAAAAAGTGTCTTTAAAGTTCTATTAAAACTTAAATATCAAAACACAAGGAAAGAAAACTAAGAGTGAAAGCTAGTATTAACACAGATTAAAACTTTATTTTCCTTTTTTGAAAAAGATAACTCCAATTTCTTTAATTAAGAAAACTTATCTTAAGGTTATTAAAAGCTTCATGTTCTTAACTCCTCTTTCTTATTAACCCTGTTAAGCACTTAAATTATTTAATATATAATTTAAACGATCTAAAAATATTTCAACATTGATAGAAAATATTGCTAAGGTAAACGCAGCAGCTCGAAATAGTTTACATAATTTAACGATACACAACTTTAAAAAATTCTAAAAAATTACAGTGAAAATTACCAGTATTTTTTACCATTAACTTCATTTTTTTCATTAGAGGTTTACACTGTAATTTTTACAATATACTGAATCAAAGTCGCAATGGCTCAGGGGATAGAGCGTTCGCCTTCCAATGCGGCAAACCGAGTTCGAATCAATGTCGATACAAATTCCGTTTACGGATTGCACCGACCACAGTGCTGACGTGAAATATCCTCAATGGTAGACGGATCATGGGTAAGAGTCCCCTTGCCGTCAGGCTAACAGTGGGAGGTTCTGGCATGGTCTTCCTCTCCATATAACGCAAATGCGAGTAAGCTCCATCAAAAAGTCCTCCACGAAAGCAAATTTCTCCCCAAGGAGTTTCCTTTTCTTTTGGATTGGGTTCAAAATTAAAAGGCTACGGAGTTGAACATTAGTAGTCGTACACCCATAAAATTATTCCGGCTGTTCAACGACGGCTATTAATAAATAAATATATATATATGAATTAAAAATTTCGCTTATCGTAATAAGGGAAACTCACAAATTTTGTTAAGTGTTAACTGTCCTTTTGTTTGGGTAACATATAAGTTTTCACATTTTTTAAATAGGAATATTTAGTTTTGACCAAGTCCGAAAAATTAAAAGTATTACAAATTTCTGTCAGTTTGTTTGAAAATTCCTCATCGTTAGGTTCAAAAGAAAGTTCTGAAAAATTTAATTTTCTATAGCGATTTAACCGTAATAAATCATTAGGAAACGAAAGTTTTAAAAAAAACTTAATTTTGTTTGCCGTTACTCATTTAATTGACGTTTGAACCACATTTTTTTCCTCTTCAAAAACATTTTAAATGCACTATAAAAAACAATATTATATCATAATTTAAAAAAAACAACAATATAAACACTAGAAATGCAATCTAATCATTAATAATATACTATTGAATTATTCATAAGAAAAAGTTTAGAGCAAGGCTCAAATCTAACTTCAATAAAATATGAACAGCCTACTCTCCAACGTCGACCTTCATCAATTTCGTTGAAGAGGAAAAAAAAACATTTTAATGGCATTTTTATCTTCACCCTAAACACTATAGTAAAACAAGAATATAAATTCTACAAATCAAAAAATCATTGAAACTGTAACACATAAAACAATAAATTTGAAAATAATTTCTCGAAACATTTCTTATGCCAATCAAAACAATCATTTCACTGAAAAAGAATTTCAACAGTAATTACGATCAATAAATAAAAAATAATTGTTTCATTTGAAACATCAAGTATGAGAAAAATAAATATTTAAAGTCATTATCTATGATTTTTGTTATTTACATGAGCACTTTTTTTATTTTTTATTAATCAATAAAAATTAAAGAAATTATTTTATGAAAACTGTAAAAAATTAGCAAAAGGATACGAGAAAAAGTTCGAACCAGTCCAAGAAGACATTCAGAAAACCGCAACACCAGATGAAATTTGATAGGAAAAAATAATTTGTTTCTTTGATTCCAAGACACATTTTGAAAATCACAACATCAGATGAAATTTGAATAGTAATTTCTTCTTTAAGAGGAATCATATTTCTCCTTGAATGAGACGGGGTGAAAATAATTTATTGACGATTAACTCCAGAGTAGCACTGGGATAGGCAACATCAACACTTTCCGAACGGAAGGGATGAGGTTTCCAATCAAAAACTTTTTAACGTCTATCAGGAGTTCAATGCAGATTTTCTTTTTTGTCCAAGAGGGGAGACAAAGATCGAATCATTTCCTTCTACGGTTTTTTCACAGCAGTAATTTATTCCCCCGTTGGGTGATGGGATGGGGAAAATTTCCACGAAGCAGTCAGCCTCCGTTACGCTTAGTTCCAGAGATAGAAAAGCGTAAGTTTCCTCTACTAAGCAATCATCCTGCCGGCTTATAATAACAGGACTACATCTCTGTTATCATTGGTGTATTCATCTTAAGAAATGCAGTCAAAGCCATAATAAGTTATCGAAAGGTTTATTAAAAGATATGCTGGTGGTTATAACAGTTCACATCCGCCCTCCACAAGGGAGGGTGTGTGGACAAATCTCCAGATGGTTCCGGCAGATACTTATTGGAACACGTTATTCAGCAAGAGACATGCGAATACCTTAGGTCTTGCATTAAATACAAACAGATTTTGGTGTAATTAGGTCCCAGTCGTACATACCTTTGTAACTCTACGCATTATGGAAAATCATTTAATGCTTCCTAATATGGAAGTGAAAGAGGAGCAAGATTCTAAAAATAACTCCTCCTTTGAAATATAAATCTAATTATTATTCAATAGTATGTTTTCAGCTTTGAATTCCCAAAATAGAGTATCTCTACTCCTACTCTTTAACAATTCACGCGCAGGTCGTCGGGCTACCGAAGCGGAGGTGCCATCCCCTCCGCAGAGGATCAAAATTGTGATGGCATGTCTTCGGATCATCCTCCGGGATGTTTCCCAGACCGTCGCCAATAGCCCATTGTGCNATATATATATATACATATATTACATATTACATACATACATATTACATATATATTACATACATACATATTTACTGAATCACCGGGATTCACAGTGATTACTGTAAAAACAACAGAACATCAATTTTTTTTTGTTTCGTAATTGTACGGTAAAAGTGGATTTTACGAAAAAAAAGAAAAAAGTATTAGTTCAGTGCTGATATTTTTTATAGTAAATTTTAGGATATTTTTAAGTGTATATCAACTGAAATGAAATGAGTAAACTTGTTTTTCTACTAGCTGCAATCTATTCCACTGACTTTTATACGTATTCTATTGACTTTTATAGCATAAGCGTGACATTTATTAGTTTAAGCGAAACCATTGTCGCATAGTTAGCAACAGTTAGCAATATATTTTATTACAGATCACATAGTAAATCTAACTAATGGTTGAATTGTATTTCAACAGACGAATTATGCGACAAAATATATGTTTTAAAACCTGCAGCAGAATAAATGTTTAAGAATGTACCGCATTCTTTTCTAAAGTTTTCGGTCAGTAAAAAAAAAAAAAAAAAAAAAAAAAAAAAAAAAAAAAAAAAAAAAAAAACGAAATGAAATAAAAATATCACTGCAGTGACACCCTCTTCAGAAAAATTTTCGTTTAAATTCGATCTACTGTTAATTTAATTTTTAAGGTAAATTTTCATGCCGTAATTTTCACAGTAATGCAAGATGAGTCATAGTACTTCAGTAAATATTATTGTAAAATATCAATTTTTTCTACAATAATTTAAGGTAAATATTAATAGCACCCTGATTACCGACAGTTTTAACCATAATTGTCAAGATTTTTTTAAGTGTATATCAATGAAATTGTAAGGAATAAACGAATCCAAACAATCATTAACTCGTTTTTCCACTAGCTACAATCTATTCCGTTGACAACTCAAAGTGAAATCACTGTTACATAGTTAACAACAGAATGTATTTTATTACAGATCATATAGTAAATCTAACTAATGGTTGTATTGTATTTCAACGGACGAATCATGTGACAAAATATCTGTTTTAAAAAGTGCGGCGGAATAAATGTTTAATAATGTACCGCATTCCACTTTATGGTTTTCGGTAAGTAATGAAAAACGAAATGAAATAAAAATACCATCGCACCCGCATTCTCTTCAGAAATATTTTCGTTTATATTCGTACTTCTGCTTTTCGAAGCAGAAAGGCAATTTTTACGACGTAAAAGTCATAAAAAGCAACAAGATAAGATGAATGTAGTTTCTTACATTTTTGCTAAATATTTTTTTAATATAACTGTGAGATATGAATAAAAAGTTCCTTTTAATATTTCATAACTGCATTTTTAAGAGGATGTGAAAGAGTTGGTTATTATCTAATAAAAAGAGCCATAATGATTATGCGTTATGAATTAGTCAACACAGCTCAGACTAATACTCATTTTTATTTGAAAGAAAAATATATATTGTATACTAAAATAAGATTATTATTAATTAAAATAAGATTAATATTGATTAAGATTGTTGGTTATAATGTTATTTTAGAATATTTCATATTTACTATTTACTGTACGAAGTTTAGAAGTGATTAAAGTGTTGATTTTTGACTCATCAGTTTGATTATACGTTATGAATTACTCTGCAGGGTATTATAAGTTTTTTTCATAAAAATATTGTGTAAGAACCAATAAGAACAAATATTTTTTTCAGTTATAAGAAATTAGTAATCATTAAATTTAATAACATACATTCTTAATAATAATAAACTATTTGCTGAATGAACAGAGCAAAGATATGTTTAAATATCTGAGGATTTCCTGATACTAAATCTTTTTTTTTTCTTGAAAATCGAAAAAAAAATAAAGTGTCGTAAGAATTTATTTCAGCTAAATTCTTAAAATCTAATATTTTTAAGACTGGGTCCTCTTACATTTGCTCTCATGTTTGATCTTTTATAAGTATAAAACTCAATTAAATTATATTATGTGATAAACTGTGAAGTAAGAATTGAGAAAAGAAAATCAATAATTATTAAACGGTAATTAATGTCCGAATCGGCCATTTTTGCTTCTTCACATTCAACATGATTTATTACTTATGCTATTGTTATTATTGTTGTTGCAAGGATTATTATTATTATTGCTGTTATTATCATCCATTTCAGATCACAGAGCTTAGAATTTGAGTCGATGCTACCAGAAAATCCTATTGAATATGACAATTTACAACCACCGAAAAATAAAGGTACGAAACTATACTCTTTGTTGAACCAAAAAAAAAGAGTGTAGAAAGCATGTAATTTAAGTAATGAAAATAAAGTTTTAAATTTTTTTTCGAATAAAAGTAGATTTAAGTACATTCGTAAAAGTAAAATTACACTCAATACAATTCATTTCCGTTTCTCACAATGCAATCCAGTGAGATAAATTTTCAATATCGGAAAGAAAAAAAGCTTAAAAGATTTCAAGGCAGATTAATAAGGAGGTTTGGAAGCAAGCAATCAGTATATCTTTATTAGCCAAAAACCACATTTATTGATATTACAACACTGTCAGAATTTTCATTCGAAAATTATGGTAAAATATCGTAATCTGTCCATCTATGATAAAATCTGTCCATCCAATTACTCTTAAAGCTTACGGTAAAGAACATTTCTTTTTACCTTTACGGTTTCGAAACCTATTACAACTAGTTTGGTTGAGAAACCATGAATACATAACTACATGGTTTTTGAACTATTTACAACGAGCATCTTTCCCAAATCATTAAAAACGAAATTTAACTGGGCATTGGAACTAGGTTCTTCGTGGGGTAATGGACATCATATTCGGGAATTCAGGACACAGGAAACTTTTTATGTTTTTTAAGGGATGGAGTAAATATTGTGATGCCAACGATGGGACTCGAACCCCCGTTCTCATGGTCATCAGATTGACAGATTAGTCCTGGTGGTTATAATGCAAACAAAGCTGCAAGGAACTAAGTGGCTTCATTAGTTGTGCCGAGGTGGTACGATAAAATTTCGGTTGCTTTACCGTATTAGATAAAAGCAGTTAATAAACGTTTTTTTCCACAGTTAGTAGTTTAAATACCATCTTATTTGTGGCTATTTGACTGTTTTGTTCGAGCATAGTAAAATAACAAATGCATAAATTGTTATTTAACCCTTTTTTGAGAAATTTCTCATAGCATGGATGACATGGGGCAATGTCGTGTTGCCCGATATTGCTGTTCGATCTCACTAACATGATCCTTTTTCGGTGAATCAATTCTTAATTCAAAATCTCATAAACAATGATGTGATTCAAGTTCAACTGTTTTCTGATCATTTTGATCGACAACAAACGATCTGAACTCATCGACTCAGTCGACATTTTCTTCGATTCTTGGGGTTGAAGGCTTTTCGCTGCTTGATTCAAGTTTCACGGAATGTGTTCGTTTTGAATGCATCTCAGATAACCAGAAAACCTGGGCTATTTAAAAAAACGTTATCTCCCCACGGTTTCTTCAGTTTTGAAAAAAGATTCAGTTTCCCATGCCTATTTCAAAAACTGATAGTACAGCGTGGATCCATAATAATGTCATCCATTTTAAGAACGCACTAAAAAAACTGATTTTGCGAGAAAGATGACTTCGAACATCCACACTAATCTACCGAATTCAGTTCATCAGCATACTCGCATTGTACGCGTATGACGTGTCCATTTAATTGTTAGCCAGGCAATATATCAAATATATATATATATATATATATATATTTANTTCCTTTTCTTTTATTTTATTTTCTGTTTTTACATGTTATTTATTCTTACTTTTTGTGATCTATTTTATTTGTTGTTATTTTCATAAAAAAAAACTTGAGTGCTCCTCACACTATTGTATTAATATATTTTGCTTAGACTTTATTGATACAATATCAGAAAGCACTCTGTTTTGCGGATATAATCGTGTGGGCTGAAGATAAGATTATATCTTTTTTTTCCCCAGTTTTTTAAATAAAATTCCCCCCCTTTTTTTTCAAAACTGTTGTTTGTTATTTTTTTACTTATTATCTCCCCCCTTCTTCTTTTTTTTTTTCATTTGTCTATTATTTTTCTTTGTTTTATTCTTCCTTTTGAACATATATATATGTATATATATACATTAGTAAAACAAATAGTATATTGTCGTATAGTTTTTCGTATCAAAATATTTTCAAGATTTTATTTATAGTAAAAGGTAATATCTTTAAATATCTCCTGGACATTGGAGTTGAAAAGAGAAGAAAAATATATCACAGCTATGAAACATTCCTCCATTTTTTCTTCTCATTATTTTTTACTTTGAAAAAATTTAATTTTTCGGAAATCTGACAGATTTATTCGTTTGATATATGTGTTTCATTTATTTTTTAAAAATGTTTTAAATGTATTCTTTAGGTAAAGCAACAATAGTTGAGTTTCATGTCACTGTTTTAAGTTTGGATTCAATCGATGAAGGATCTATGGTAATATATTTTTTATATACATTATATTCTGTTTTATTACGTTATATATTTATATATGAACTATAGTCTACTTAAATCTATTGTATTAAGATTAAAAAACTGATTATCTTTTCCCTTTGATTAAATAGTCCGAGTTCTAACAGTAAAATTGACTCCCGTGCCCCCTAACTCCTGTTCTGTCGGTCTCATGACTGATAGAACGTTCAGGAGTTCGAGTTCTAGACCAACAGATTAGCCCTCTCGGCTATGATGTATTACCATCTTCAAGTAACTAAGTGGCTTCCTTAAGTGGACCTAGTTGTTGTTGTAAAATTCTAATTGTTTAACCGTTTTTGGTGAAAACAGTTAATAAACGGTTTTCTCCCAAATAATACCATGTTATTTCTGGTTACTTGACTGTTTAGTTTGAATATGGTATAATAAAAATTAAATAAATTGTTCTTTAACCATTTTTCTTTGAAATTTTAAACACTGCAGGCCGCTTGTCATGAAACTGTGGAGCATTATCCTTAATAACCCAACTGGTCAACAGCGAAGAGTTGCTGGAATTCTTTATTAAATATTTGTGACAACTAATATACATACATTTTTCTTTCTTTTCGGATGAAAGCACGTATCTGCATTAAGATCGAATACTGTTGTTAACTTGTTCAATTTTTATTTAATTTTCACACGTATTGATTGTTTAGGCAATTTTTTCTTCCTTTATATCATATTCTGATTCTCATAAAGGTTTCGCAGCGTCACGAATTAAATTTTCAGATTATTATCTTAAGTTTGAATGGATATTTTTTTATTCATTAAATTAAAGTAAATAAATTTAAAAAGTAGGTTTTTTTAGGGCAGATAGATCTTGGTGTAATTTAACTATTTGCTGGTCTTTACAATAGTTTCAGAAACTTAAGGTGCGCTTAGTTTATAAGGAAAAAAACTCAGGTGACATTAATTTTAAACCTTTTCTAATTGGTTTCGCAACTTCGAAAATATATTAACATACAAAACGTTGTTATGACTGCGACACTAAATTATCCCATAAATATGAAGAGCGTATTGTTAAATACATATATCAGAGCTTCAAGTATTTTATTTTCTATTCATCTCCCAAAGTTTTCCTGCGAAAAAGAAGAAAAAAATATAATTCAGCTCAAACGAAAAAATATTATCTTCTCAAATGAGTTTTGTTTTGTCTTTTATATGTCTAATATAAATTTTTCGAAAGAAGAAAAATTAAGCTTCGAGCTTACAGTGCAGCTTTGCAAAACGTATTACAAGCTCAAGAACTTGTTTAAAACAGAATCTTTTTCAAAATAAATTATGAACAAAAAATATTTCAAAAACAATTTCAACCTAAGACAATTGACGTAATTCTAATTTGTATTAGACTGATTTTTTTCCTTAAGTTTTAAAAGAAATTCGTAGAAAGCTTTTATTTTTATAATAACTTACAAAACTAATTTTGTGCTATAGAAAAAACCCTTTCTGATCGCCATCTGTCTTATGCAGCCCAAAGACAAATCTAACTAGAAAATAATGGTTAAAGGAATGAAAAACCAAACAAAATCAAAACCAAGTTTGCTGTCTGGAAATTCTCTGTTTATGATTAACGAGATTTTAAATTTTCTGTACCGATTCTTTGCTCTCGAATGGCTAGAGGTAAAACCATTTGATAGATTAGTACTCTTTTGGGATCAATTATGGTTTTAACCCTTGTATTAAAGATTTTTGTTGAGAGAGATTACGTCCAGACTTGAAAAATGGCATTAAATGTGATGTTTCAAACCTTTTATCGATTATGGGTACTTAAAAAAATATAATAATAGAAATACAACTTTTAAATTGTGCTGAAGGCTGATTTTCGTTAAAATCTTTTCAGTTTTAGAGATTTTCTTCAGGAAAATTTTATTTTTAAATTCAAACATGATTTTCGTTCATTTTATAGCTAATTAAAAAGCATATAAATAAATCGTATTCAGTTCTGTAAAAATGTAGATAAAACTATTTTCTTTTCGATTTATTTAGTATCTTTGTTCAATTTAATATTCATTAGAATTCTCAATGCTAGGTAAATAATTAAAGGAAACAAAACTCATGAGATTTTAAATTAAACGTCTTTCTTTTTCCGTAATTTTTTTATAAGTTCAATAAATGCAAGTTCAATAATTATAAACTCAATAAATTTATATAAATTTGTAAAATTCAATAAATTTATGAAAATTGAATAAATTTATGAAAATTGAATAAATTTATGTAAATTTAATAAATTTATGTAAATTTATGTAAATTTAAAAAATTTATATAAATTAATAATATATTTATATAATTAATAAATTATTAAAAAATTATTAATAAATTTATGTAACTCAAAATACCCGTCCGCATGAGTAAAATAGCATATTTTAATTAGCCCTCTATGATTGGAGCCTAGTAAAGAAGAATCGGATCAAGCTATTAAATGTTATTTCAGAGTTCCGCTTTTTGTTTCATTTAAAAATTATTTTTATATATGATCCTCTGACAAATATAAGACTAATTTACATTTATAGACCACAATTCGATTATCTTTAAAGAAAATTGCATTTTAATTTTAAATTATAGTTCTCATCATTTTTTTTAAATTTTGTTAGTAAAAAGAAACTTTAATGCTTGAAAACTGTTATAAACTCCACAAACATCTTTCGTTACTATTTTAAAATAAGTTAAAGTATAAAATTTCTTATATGGTTCCTACTTTCAGAAAACTTTTCAAAAACCTAAGTGTTTTATGGAAGATTGCTGGGAAAATTTTTTTGAAACCATACACTTAAAGATAAAAACGACAATTTTTCTAAGAGTATGTGAAAGTTTCTCGGTGCAGTTTTTTTGTCAAACATTGTAGTTTATTTTCTTAACTAAAATCTGTAGGTTTCATCCGTTTAAAAATAGTTTTAAACTTTCACCCAGAAAGTTTTAAAAATCTTCAATCCTACGCTTCACCAATGTAAGTAAATGCTTTCGGATTTTAAAAATAAGGTTTTCCTTAAAGCACCGCTTTACCAGTTTAGTGTAAAACGAAATTTTCTAAAACTGCTCGTTTAATGTCTTCTTAATATGGTAATAATGGGGTAATATTATTAAAATATTTAAAAAAACTTTTCTGAGAAAAAGATAAATTCTAGCAAGCAATTCTGAATTACAGATGTTTCCATGATTTTTTATCATATATATATATANTGCGGTGGATCCACACCGATATTTTTTTAGTTAATTACAAGTCAAAACAGCATGATTAATGAGTCCATGTTGTGCATAATCTTTTTTATTTAGTAGCGATGGTGAAACCATACATCTCAGCCCCCTCCAAGTTGGAGAGGGTAAGACCCATATCCCGTTTAAACTGAAGTACGTTAGCTAGGCATTATAAACAACAAAAAGCCACGCAAAAACTTTGCTCCTGCGTTTTATAGGATGATTAAAAGTTGTGAAGAGACCAGTCATTATTGCCTTTTCTGTATTCTTACGCCTCATCGAAATTATTTATTACTCATAGAAAATCGTTTAATCTTTCCTCATGTGGAAGTGAAAGATCTTAAAATAACTTCTCTTTTGAAATATAAATCTAATTATTATTCATTGGCATGTTTTTAGCCTTGAAGTCCCAAAATAGAATTTCTACCCTTATCCTTTACCAAAGATATTTTATGAAAACGAATGAAGTTTTAATGCTTTTATTAATACAAAAGTATTTAATTTTTGCATTACATATGTATATATATATATATGTATAAAACTAATAATTACTTCATATTTTGCTATTTACACTCAAGAAACAAAAGACTAGTGATAGCAGTATGCAAATCTGTAAGTTGTAACGCCGCATAAGAAAATTATACTTAGGCCGAGAGTTTTCATGGTTTTTCTTTGAAGTCTAGTTATTAAATTAAAGCACAGGAATTAACAGACTTTGAATACAAAACTCGTAGAAAATCTGTGAATTTCTTTCGGAATTTAAGACTTTTAAGCCCACGGATTCAGGAGTATGTTTAGAAAGAGTCGAGGAGATTTACTTTAAAGCATAACTCTTCAGTTTTAGAAAGAACAAGATGAACGATCTTACAGTTTTGGACATAAGGAAAACTAATATGCGACATGAGGTAGATTTATCTTTAGGAGAATCATAAATCGAAGTATTTTACTTTGATAATCTTGGTCGTCGGAAACTAGACTCGAAAGGTTGAATGTTATTATTTACATCACGCCATTTTCTGTACCAGGCATTGCTTTTTAATAATAACAGTATTAACGCATAATAAGTATTAACAACTTGCTTGCAGAAAACATGCGTTTACTACTCAAGACTAATGTGTACTTAGTTTTGTGAGTTTTAAACGACAAGCACATTTCTGTGAAACAACAGAAAATATGAATAAGGGACATAAGAAAGATTTCTTTCTGGGACAATCGTGAAACAAAATAATTTACTTTCAGACTCTCTGTTGGCTTAAAATACATTCCAACGGTCGAATGTTATTATTTAAGACATGCCGTTTGTGCAAAACGTGATGTACTCTAAGACATACTCTTGGGTGTAAAGAACGCACTGGTGGAACACATAAGTTTACTGCTTAATACTATTAAAATGTATGTAATTTCGTGAGATTTAAAGGACAAGAAAATTTCTACTTGAATTAATAAGAACAATAAATGTTGGGCATTAGGAAGATTTATTCCTGAAACAATCATGCATCAAAATAATGTATTTTTATAGTCTATGTCCACAGAAGCTGGATTCGAATGACCGAATGTCATTATTTGGACCACGCCAATTGCTGCAGTACTTGCTGCATTTTAAGGCATAGATCTCTAATTACTCTAATAACAGCAATGTGCTGGCATAATACGCGAGCTTACTACTTAAGACAAGTAACGTGCATTTAGTTTGGTGATGTTTAAAAGACAAACAAATCTGCGCGAAATAAAGAAGCAATAAATATGGGACCTAAGGAAGATTTATTCCTCAGGCAATCATGCCTTAAAATAATTTAATAATTTACTTTGACACTCTTTGTCAGCATAAAATAGACTCAAATGGTCGAATGTCATTATTTGGACCACGCCATTCGCTGCAGCACGTGCTGCACATTAAGGCATATCTGTCTAGTAACAGCAACGCGCTGGCGTAATGCGCGATAATACTCCTTAAGACCAGTGACGTGTACTTAGTTTGGTAAGGTTTAAACGACAAACAAATCTGCGTGAAAGAGCAGAAACAATAAATATGGGACAAAAGAAGATTTATTCCTGGGACAAGCATGTATCAAAATAAATTTCTTTGATGCAACATGTCAGAAAAAAACAGACTCTAATAGTCAAATATTATTATTATTTACAACACGCCATTGGCTGCAGCACATGATGCATATTAAGGCATAACTCTCTAATAACAGCAACTCTCTGGCTTTACACACGGGCTTAATGCTTAACACCATTGACATGTGCTTAGTTTTGTGAGGCTTAAACTGCAAGCAAATCTACGTGAAATAACGGCAATAAATATTGTACGTAAGGACGATTCATTCCTCAGACAATCATGCCTTAAAATAATTTTATAATTTACTTTGACACTCCTTGTCAGCAGAAAATAGATTCGAATGTCATTATTTGAATCATGACATTTGCTGCTGAACTGGCTGCATATTAAGGCATAACTCTCTAATGACAGCAACGCGCTAACATAATACGCGAGTTTAGTGTCTAAGACCTGTGATATGTACTTAGTTTTGAGAGGTTTAAACGACGAGCAAATTTTGGTGAAATAACCGTACCAATGAATGTGGGACATAAGGAAGATTTATTTCCTTGAAAATTATGCATCAACTTGATTTAAATGGTCTATCTTAGAAGAGGGTCGATATTAACACAATTCCGTTTGTTGCACCGGCTCTTCTGAACTCATGAACTAGTGGGTTGGGTGGTAGATGACCTGAAACAAGTCAGATAAAGATTTCAGTTGATAAAAGCTGACAACAGTGTAGGAGATTTAAGAAAAGTCCACAAAGCACTGGAGACCTTTTGTAAAGAAACAATGCTAAAATGTATCAAATAAATAAGATTTCTTTGGTTTTATGTTACATTTTTTTGTATTTTGTATTTCATTGCAGACATATGTTGCCGATATTTTCATGTCACAGAGTTGGAAAGATCAGAGGTTGAAGTTACCTGAGAATATGACCATGAAATACCGTTTGCTGCCTGTTAATTGGCTGAAAAAGATGTGGAGGCCAGATTCTTTTTTTAAAAATGCAAAGAGGGTCACATTCCAAGAAATGACGATACCGAATCACTACATATGGCTATACAGTGACAAGAAAATTCTCTATATGGTGAAGTAAGTGTACACTTTTTAATTCTTTGAATGAGTTGGGAATTGCAAGAAAATTTATGCGTCTTCTAAATAAAGAGAATATACCGTGTCAGTACAAGCTTGAAGATAGACTTCATAAGGATTAAGTACTGCATAGCAACCCATGTCCCAAAAAGTCATCATACGCCGCTTGGATTACTTTTCGATTCTCGATAGACTTATTGTTCTCTCGCATTCTTATTTGAAGTGGTACTTTTAGTTATCCGAATAATTTTAAATTTATTTTTAGAAAAAGCATTTTGAAAATGGATTTAAATATAACTTAAACTTAAACGGTTTTACCGCAGTTGATTGATCAGGCGACTATATTGCAGAACTCACTAATGGCGTTGCCAAACGAGTAAAAATACATTTATTTCTGGACCTACTTGAGTTCCATTTCAGCAATAATTATTAGAAAACACCACATTAAGATAAGTATGACTGACAGAATTACTTATTTAAATGTGCACGAATAGTTAGGCTAGAATATCAAAGCATCCCTAACTGCGTACGGTGACGTTTCTGGTCAGGAGTTGCAATACAATTTTCATTCCAAGTTTGCTAACGCTATGGTGAATCCCTCTCTGTAATAGTCCTACGACTGGTTAAAAATAGCTACAGGAAAACTTTTTTTTTAATTTCAAATGGCAAGGCAATAGGTACAAAGAGAAAGATGAAATAAATAACGAATACAAATGTACGTAGGATAACAAAGAAAGAAGACCGAAGTCATTGCCTTAAAAGTTCTCTTGCTTCCCAATATCTTGAGGACTCAGTGTGTCCATGAAGGGCCCCACATAGAAGCAGGTGGTCCCTGCCCAATTTCTCTCCAGATTTACAAAGTTGACAAAAAGGCGTGGTATAGGCCTTTCCATCACGCCTTTTCTTATTCTTATTTTTTTACTACTGGAAAACTAGAAGTGTCTTAAAAAGGAGGAACGATTTCAAAAAAAATTGTTAAAGAAAAATAAAAGGTAATAGAAATGAGTGGTTTGCTTAAAAACGTCTGTCTATTTAAATTTCAGATTTTATTCTGTTCAAGCTTTAAAATTAGTAACACATTTTGTCAACAGCAGGTGGTGTAATCTAAGAAAAACAATAAAATAAATAAATAAAATTAAATAATGCTTTCGAAATTGCCACCATTTTCATCAGAATTGGAACAGTTCGTGGACAAAATTGACAGGCTCTCTTGAAATATTTTAGTTTGAATTTCAGTTGCTCCTGCTACGAAGTTTAGTCAAGCTACCCACTGAGGAAGCAAGCGATAAGTAAAATACATACGAGAGCCAAATTCCCATATTTCAACATCATAATGCACATCCAAACTAAAAAGTATAGGAATTCGCCTCATGTGTGCCTCATTCTTATTTTTTGCCACCTCATTGTAGGTGGCCCAGCTTAGTTGTATTTAGCAGTTAGAATTCCTAAAAACAATTCGCGTTAGAGACATAAAGGCAAGGGGCGTGATTGGTCTTGTTTAACAGTGGCGCCATCTATGGCCAAAAATTTGACTTCTGCCGCACCCGTTTATAGGGCTGACCCATTCATACATCCATTCACGCATCCAAAGATTGCAATTTTGACCTGAACAAGATAACAACCAATCTCCAACTTAGTACCCCCAGAGGTATAGAATGTTATAGGAACATGGTTGACTTTGTGACCCTTAAGATTTAACGTGCACCAGCCACCATTTACTACAGGATTCGAACTCCAGTTCTCGCGAACGAGAGTACCGTGTCCTGCCAACCAGGCTATCCAGGCCAGCTAAATGAGATGAATGGCATAAATGAAAGCACGGCAAATTTCAGTTCTATAGTTGAATTTCTGTAGCCTACAGACCGCGTGTTATTTATAAGGACACGTTTCACAGTTAATAATTTTCGAACTAATTGCTAAATATTATTTCGTTATTACAACCTCCCATTGATTTTTTTACACATCTTCTCAACCAAGTTTACTTACACTTTTTAAACAGCAAAGCGAACTTTAAGCGGAATTGATTCCTCAAAATAGCGGATTTTCAGCACTCAACCAATCAATCAGTTCAAACAAACGATTTTTTTAACATTGGATTGATTGTTTTAACATTATTAATTAAGAAAATGAAATTAATGTACGCCTTAGAATGCATTTAATAGACAACATATAATTTTCATTTAAATCTAACAATATATATAGTTTATGCTTAGTAACACTAAATATTCCAAACAATTTTTAGATTACACAATTTAAAATAAACCAAATAATTTGCTTATATTATTTGGGAAGCATGAAATTTGATTTTCTCATTTGGATTGCTAACTGTTAAATTAGCGTAATTTACTAAAGTTTTTAATTAGTCGAATTTTTTATTCTCGATTATAAATACTATTTGTGTAATAAAAAAAATAGAAGCGTTCCCAAAGAAATTGATTAATTACGGTTTCTTTTGACTTCTAATTAAACCATTTAGATTCAAATGACTTTTTATTTCATCAGTTCACTTTTTAATTGATAATGATGACTCCATTCATTAAAAAATAGCATTTTTTTTCCTTAACATGAAAAAAATAAAAATATCAGTCATTATGTAAGAGTGATCATCAATTTCAGAGTAAAATTGATAAAAGAAATAAGTGTCTGAGATTTATTAGGGTTTCAAATAAAAAAAGACAAAAAAAATAAACTTTTTTCGTTAAGTTTGACCGGGTTTTATTTCTAAACTCTTCTTTTTGGATTTTAACCCTGTCCCTTAAAAAAACTCACTTTTTTTATATAAAAAGCTAAGGTAAAATAATTACATCATCTATTTATTCACAATATTATAGAATAAGTAATATTGGAAATAAATTACGCATACAAGATGGTTAAAATACCGTTGCAAAATAAAAGTAAAAAAGAATTCAAAAATAATTTTTAAAGAAAGAATTTTTAAGTTGGAAGCTCTTGGTTTTATCTTTCCAATTTTATCATTGTCTCATATAAAAAAAAATATTTTTCTTTATTCTAAAAAATAAGGTAAAACTCTTTACACCATGCAATTACTCATGATTATATAGAATCACAAAAAAAGTAATCGGAGCAAACTATGCATACGAGGTGTTTCAAAAACTGTCACCAAAATGAAGGGGAGAAATAAAAAATAATCACAATGCAAATCAAAAAGTTGTGAAGCACGAAGATTTTTAATTGATTCTGTTTTGCGACTTAAAACTCTTTTTTTATTTCAATATTAAATATTTATGCCATTTTTTTATTAATAGCTATATCAGAATAACTAGTACTACATAAAAATGAAAACTAAGTATATATTTTTCTAAAAAAAGTCTGTTATCATAAGGGAAAGGAAAAGCAAGAACAGTGCGAAAATAATAATAAAATAAACCAAGTAGGAAAATGTAGTTGTTATAGCCGGAAATATGCAAGTTATTCAATAAAGAACGCTCTTAATATGCATTTTTGGAATGTTTATCGATAATGAAAGCAAAAATACTTATTCTTTTGGGGTCGCAAATTAATAATTAACCAAGGAAGAAGCAGTAACGCTATCCAAAGATGACAAATCACAAATAACTTCTGCTTAAACAATACGAAAGATATGTTATAAATTAAGGCATTAAGGCATTAATCGATCGCTCTACATAGATGGAATTCTGATCACAGGTTTGAGTTTTCCTCTGGTAAAAATATTCAACACTGCTCTTCGTCTATCAAAGTTGATTTTCGGGGAATTATTCCTTATCTCGAAAATTTCTACGAATTTAGTTAATGATCTTTCTAATATCCCACCATTTCCCAACATTTGGAAGTCCATTCTAATTTAACCTGTTGTACCTTGGGCACCTCACAAAATTCTTCTGCAACTGTTTCTTTTATTTCCCTTTTTGATTACCTTACTCAAACTTGTTCCTCGGTCCCTATTGGTTAAACCACTTTGAGCGTATTCCGATCTTTACATCCCTACCATAATTCTCTACCACAGACTATGAAGACGGTTCTTGTTTACAGAACCAAAACTATAGTACGTCTTGTGTTTCATTCACGCTTTTATTAAGTTTACATAACACAAATTATACCTTATCCTTTTCGGACAATTCGCAATATTGGAAGGTAAACGTATTTAAAACAAGACAGAGTTGATTGAGCGAGGAAACAGGGAGTACATAAAATGTGATTATCAGAAACACATTCAAGTTTCATCCTCCAATTAAAACCTAGTTATATGTTAACTGTCACGTTCCTCTACTTCATGTCATGATGTCATCTTCTTCTACAAGAATTTGTCTGAATTCTGCAGTTTTTTTGCCTTTTAGTTGTTTAAATATTTGTCTGTGTCGACCGGCTTGTGTAGAGGGCAGGGAACTGCCCTTGCATTAGAAAGGTGCTGGGTTCGAATCCCGGGCAAGGTATGGATGTTCTTTCCTTCTCTGTACTATCTGTACTATCTGTCCTCACTGTGGGAGCGACGTTGGCCCACCTAATATGCTGCCCCTGAAAGAGAGGCCAGCAAAATCGCCCTGCATATGCCTGAATTAACAGATGTTGAATTGACAGATTGACAGATGTTAACACAGGTGGTAATTGGAAGAAAAAAAACATTTGTCTGTAACCTCCAATATGTACACATTTTTGATAAAAAATTTTAAAAATTCATATTAAGGACAGTCTTCAAAAAACATCCTGTAAATGAAAGTACGAAACTCTTTCCATATTAATTAGTTTTTTTTACATGTGTTACATATTTTACAAACACACCACAGGAAAAGCTCTTAGTTTTGGTGAGAAGCAAGGAGTTATCCATTAGAATGATGCCTTTTCATATAATGGTGTCTTTTCTCTAAACACACTAGATGTAACTGAAACATACTTGTGTCTCTCCTCTCGCGGTATTAGTGCTTTTACATTGAAAATATTATGAAATTATACAGAATGACAAACTATTGAATGATACTTGTTCATTGTCCTTCAAAAAACCTTCAAGTTGGTACTGATGCCAT